AAACACACTGGATACAGTTCTGGAACAGCCTATCACACAATCTGGAACAAATGAAAAGATGGCCAGCCATTGCAAAAGTTTCTATACAATTGAACACCCTGTTGCAAAACTAATCCATAAAGAAGTTATTCTGTAGTAATAGAGATCCTGGGGCAGCTCTTCAGGATGAATTTGAGATGATTATAAAAGATAAGGTGAGCATTCCTCCCTCCCACTTGATTTGCTCTCAAAAAAGATACCTCTGTCCTCTTTTAATCTGATCAGTTGGTTCAGCATGCAGTGTTGCGTATGTTTCAGTATGTCCATGCTATTGAGATAAAACGATAAAGAATTTATTGTGTTCTCAGGTGTAAATGTGCTAGTCATTCCCGACTCTAAGGAGCAGTGCTCATCTCCATTTCAAAGCCAAAGAGCCAGCAATGTCTGAAGACGTCTCCGTGGTCATGTGGTCGGCATGACTAAACACCAAAGATGGATGGAACACTGTTACCTTCCCACCAAAAGTGGTCCCTATTTTTCTACTTATATTTTTTTACGTGCTTTCAAACTGCTAGGTTGGTAGAAGCTGGGACAAGTAACGGGAGCTCACCCTGTTATGCGGCACTAGGGATTCGAACCGCTGAACTGCTGACCTTTTGATCAGCAAGCTCAGCGTCTTAGCCACTGAGCCACTGCGTCCCACCTCTCAGGTGTAAAGTACTACATAAAAACTAAATGTATCATTGACTAAATAATGGAGCACGTATTATTTAAAAATGCAATTTTATAGTATCTAAGGCAACTTTATTTCTTCAAATGTATTTATACTTGACACCAAGCATTAAACAATCAAATAAAATAACATTGCAACCTCTGCCTCCCCAGACAAACAACAGCTTGGGGGGGAGGGGGGAGGGAGGGATTGCTTTTCAATCCTAGGATCAGTTGGGAGTTTGTTTGTTGTTGTTGTTTTTTGAGCAGCTGTGTTTTACTTAAATTATGAACAATTATTATGAGGTGGGTTTTACTTGGTAGGAAGTTTAAGGGTATTGCAAATAAAAGAGAAGGAAGGCCCTTCTATGTACTTCAGTAACATTGTTATTGGATGTCCTACATTTACATCTTTGTTAGATACAATTACATATACCATGTTTAATACCTATATTAATTTAACATATCAAGGTGTGAGCTCTCCACCTGTTTAATGAGCCTGAAGCAATGCTGTCAATGTGTGTCAATGAACTCAGTTACAGAGTTCCTGGAAGATGTATGCTTTAATGACATACATACACAGTATGAAAAGAATACATAAAGATGGCAGAATTAAGTCTAATTGCAACTAAAACTGTTTTCTCTTGTTCCTTAGACCTAGTGATGCTTGAATTTCCAGAATTTTTAGACAACATGGCAACAGGACAGAAACCTCACCTAATACCTTTGAGGGGTATCAGGTTGGGGAAGGCTGGTCAACTGGTAAGCATATTGCTGTGGGTTTAAGTTCAAAAGACATGTTTTTATGTTTGTTTGTTTTTTAATTTGATTTATATGCCGCCCTTCTCCGGAGACTCAGGGTGGCTTACAATGCGTTAAGCAATAACCTTCATACTTTTGTATATTTATACAAAGTCAGCTTATTGCCCCCACAAACTGGGTCCTCATTTAACCTACCTTAGAAAGGATGGAAGGCTGAGTCAACCTTGAGCCTGGTAAGATTAGAACCTGCAGTAATTGCAGGCAGCTGTGTTAATAACAGGGTGCTTTAAACCACTGTACTACCAAGGCTCATGTTACCTTTGTAAATGATATCATCTGCATATGCCTGTCTTCACTTTGTTACAGGTCTTCTTTTCTGCCCCAGGAGACCTGGTGAATTAGATTTACTCAAACTGAGTAAGATTTCAGTTCCAACTTTTAAAGATGACTGCTACCGTTCAATTGGGAGCAGGCTGGAAATTGCATTTGATTAGCATAAAATTGCATAATTTAGCAGGATTATTGATCCTATTTTTACCTGTGTTTTATCAGTGAGTATTGGTCTTTTTCTGGCCTTAGTTAAAAGTTCTAGCTTCAAACCTCCAAACACCTCAAGACAATGTTGCATAACTTCATGAATAATCAGCACGTGCTATTATTGTGTGTATGTATACCTTTGAGTCAGTGTTGACTATGACTGGTTCCCTACCATTTTTTTGGCAAGATTTTGGAAGCAGTTTACCATTGCATTCTTCCTAGGGCTGAGAGAGAGAGAGAGACTGGCCCAAGGTCAAAACAAGACTAGAGCTCATGGTCTCCAAATTTCTAGCCTGATGTCTTAACCACTACGCCAAACTGGCTCTCTTAATACATGCTGAGATGATATTAATTTTAGTCAGTCCTTCTATAGTAGGTATCTTTTGGAGGGAAAAAGAGAGGAAGTCAAGAAACATGAGCTGTAATAGAAGTGCAAAGGGGTGGAGCTTGCTGTGTGACACCGGGACATAGGTCTGCACTGTGTGCAAGAAAGCAGATCTGCCAATCTGGCATGTTTTCAGTATGGTCTGCTCTTGGTTGTTGGGTCCATATGGAAACTGTCCAATAAAATGAACCAGATGCTCCTGCTGAAATCTGCTCTTCTCCTCCAACAACTCAGTCCCAACACAAAAGGAATGGAAGAATAAGAGTTGATCCACTGGAACAGACATTTTGTTAGCTGCTTGGGTGATCGCACACAAGCAGGAGAATGATCATATCAAAAAACAGCACGCATCAGTAAACCAAAATGCTGTGTCAATGAATCTCAAGCAGGAAATCAGCAATTGCATCATAGACATGCCTTCCTTCCAGTAAAATTTGATCATCCTTTGGTTCAACAATGATTTTTTGATGTGGAATGACAAGGTATTCCTGTGCTAGAAGGTTGCAGCTGGGTTCATGCCATTGTGTTTCATAAATATGGTGCAAAACAGCACAGTCACTAAACACAGAAGCTACATTTTCCTCTCTAGCTGGCAACCGTGCTGTTAAGCACTGCCTGCGGCCTTCAACCTTGCAAATGCATGTCCCACAACCACACAGCAGTGATTGAAGATGTACTTGTAATTTAGCTTCCTCCAGTCCAGATAACCTTCAGAAGATTTCATAAACTAGGCATGAATTGGGCAAGCTTCATCTGCCCACACACATGGGAGAATAAGCACCTTATCAAGTATAATAATTGGATTAGATGGCACATAGATATTTACGAGACCGCCTTCTGCCACCGAGAGCCTCCCACCGGCCAGTACGCTTCCATAGAGAGGGGCTCCTTGGGGTGCCGTCCGCCAAACAATGTCGACTGGCGGCCCCCAGGGGGAGAGCTTTCTCTGTGGGAGCACCTGCCCTCTGAAACGAGCTCCCCCGGGAGATACAGACGATTCCGGATTTACGTACTTTCTGCCGGACCCTCAAAACTTTTTTATTTCAACAAGCCGGGCTGGCCTAACTCTCCAATTGTTTAATTTTAATTTGAATTTTAAATGGGGTATTTTAATTGTTGGGCCAAATTGTTTAATATATTTTAAAATTGTTTTTAAACTTTGTATTCTATGTTTTTTACTTTTGGCTGTTCACCGCCCTGAGTCCTTCGGGAGAAGGGCGGTATACAAATTTAAATATAAATAAATAAACAAACAAAAACACCTGAATCCATTGGAGTACTAAAAGTGAATTCCTCATGGTTCTTAGCATTCCAGTTCACTTCGATGTTTGTGAAGCAACCAGAAGGATCCACGATCCCTTGAAGGAAGAACTATAACACTTCCTTGTGGTTTGTATCTCGTACACTTGTCCAGTGGGGCACAAACTGGTATGCGGCAATCATCCATTGCTACAACAGGGTGGAAAGCCCATCAGTCCAAAGCCATCCATGATCTAGGAATGAAAAGAGAGACCAGCTGAAGTATTAAGGGGGGAAATCAGCAAAGATGCACTCAGGGATGATCTGAGACATTTGGGAGATGCAACTTTAGGAACTTTAGGACACTGAAGACAATATCAAAAATGGGGAAAAGATGACTGAGAGTTGCCACACTGGCACCTTTATGCAGGCAGGAATATGTTAGGTTCAGTTTTGCTTCAAGGGCATTTGCAGAAGAAGGATATTCCTCCCCTGTCCAACCAACCAACCAACTTTGTCAACCTTGATCATTCATTGGGTGCATTGGAAACATAGCTTCTGGTATGCACCCAAGCAAATGATATCCTTTAGATAGAATAGAATAGAATAGAATAGAATAGAATAGAATAGAATAGAATAGAATAGAATAGAATAGAATAGAATAGAATTCTTTATTGTCTAAGTGTGATTGGACACACAAGGAATTTGTCTTGGTGCATATGCTTTTGGTGTACATAAAAGAAAAGAAACATTCGTCAAGAATTACAAGGTACAATATGCTCTATGGCAAAGCATACCTCAAGAACAATCATGCCCACTGTTGATCTCTGAAACACCAAGGTGTTGGGTAACCTCCCTATAGGAAACCATGGTTGCCAGCCACAGCACAGCAATGGCTACTCGCTTCTGCACAGAGATTGATTAATAATGATTAATGATTAAGTTGATTAATAATGATCAACTGATGGGCCATGTCAAAGAGTGTCTTCCTTGAAGTTCTCTAGCCACTTCTCATCTCCCCATTCCCCCAAGAGGAGGTCCTGCCACCAGTTGGTGTGGATAGAGTAAACCTGCTGGGGCCTGGCAGCTGGGGCCCAGGACAACACCCATTGCCATTCTCTTCAAGCGGATAGTTTGTTGAGACCCATGACCAAGAAGCAGTGGACCAGTGGTGGGTTCCAACCGGATTTACTACTGGTTCTCTTGGTGCACGCGCTTCACGCACGATCCGTCACCACTACCGGCTTGGCCAAACCAGGCCGAATCGGGAGGAACCCACCACTGCAGTGGACCTCTCTGCAACCAGTTCAGCAAGGTCGAGAGATTCCTGGTCGCTGGGACGAATCTGGCATATCTTTCCATAAGGGTGGAAGTACTTTACAGGCTAACTAGGAGCGCGGGGGTGTAGGAGGAAACAGCACAAAGGTCCTGGGGAAGTACCATTGTTCTGTTTTGAGCTGAAAAGTGCTAAGGAGGCAGCTCAGAGAAGCTAGAAAAGGGGGCGGTGTGGAGAGACAGAAACTGGGGGAAGAAAAAAGGTATCTGTGATTGAGTAGATTCCGCTGACGCACCCTTGGTAAACAAGTCTCTTTCTCCCTTTTGCTACCAACTTGCATCTTCTCAAGCCACGGAAAACTGGAGGAACTTCAGAGAGAAAGCGATCTAGAAAAGGACTGGGCGCTCGCACGGACGAGAAGGCCTCCAGAAAGAGGCGAAGCCGCTGGGATCAGTCCGCGAGCGCCCTCCCTCTCTGGGTTGGCGCCCGGTTTGGAGGATTCGTCGAGCCCCCGCCCCGTCTGCTGCAGCCCTGGATGGGACGGCGGCGAGAAGTGGGATTGACTGACCTGGAGCTGGCGGTCGCCGAACTCAATGTGGCAAGTTAGTAAAGCGCTTGGCGATCGAGGGGCGGGAAAGAGGGCCGGGTGTAGGAAGCGCAAAATTGAGGTGAAGGAAGGGCCGGAGGGAGGACTCGCACAACTGGAGCAACGTCCGGCGCCCTTCCTATTTGTGGTGTCCGTGTCACGGCAGGCGAGGTTCAGCCCGAGCGATCAAGCCTGTTCTTTAAGAGTTGAGGTGCGGCGACCACTCGATCCCCTCTGGAATCTCGCAAGATCCATCCCAGTCCCCTCCCAAGCCGGTTAAATAACAGCCCTGTGCTACTTCCCCTTTTTCTGTAGAGGAAGAGCTGCTGCTGCTGTCAAACCAAATACCGGCCCCATTTCCAATTTCGGATTATGATTCTCCAGTGGATTTACTTCGTAGTAAACCTTTTTAGAACCCGCACGCAAAAAATGTTTTGCTTCGTTTGCTCTAGTCCAGGGATCTCCAACCTTGGCAACTTTAAGACTGGTGGACTTCAATTCTCAGAGTTCCTCAGCCAGCTTCGCTTTGGTGGCTGAGGAACTCTGGGAGTTCAAGTCCATCAGTCTTAAAGTTGCCAAGGTTGGAGATCCCTGGACTAGTCAAGTAGATTAAATCAAGTCATTAACATGAGGGTCCGTGCCTGGTAGACTCTAGACAACTTTGGATAGCGCGTCATTAGTGCTTGCCTTCCCTAATAGGCTTTCGGTACCGATTCTTCTTTTTTCTAAAATGCCGTGAAATGGAACAGGAAGGAAAGGTTTTGGATTATTTATTAATTCGTTTTATTTATAATTAATCAAATTTGTATAGCTACTCATCTTACCCAAGGCTACTCTTGGCTTCTCCACTCTCCCATTAGCTGTTTGCAAGAGTGCAAACAAGTTAATCTGAGGACAAGCCCCAGAGTTTAGCGATAAAACTAATTATATATCCAGGGTTCGATTATAATTAACTCGATGGACATTCTGTTTAGATTAAGGCTATGATATAGAAAGGATACAACACGTGCCGTGGCCCTGATAACAATCCTCAGGTTCTTACTTTTGTGTATGTGTGCCTTTAGTTTTAACTCCTGAGGACTAAATGGACAAGTCTATGCAGTTTGCTGGCAGCGCTTTTAGAAGTGGTTGGTTTACCCTTATGTTTTCCAGGGGCTGAGAGAGAGGGACTGGCCCCAAATTACCCCACTGCCATGTGGACCTAGTTCACAATCTCTTGGATTTCTTCAGTGCCTTTAACCACTACACCATCCTGGCTGTCCTTAGATCCAGGCCAAACCCAAAGACTATATTGGCCCAGGAAACATTGACATACTTCCAGTGTCTGGATTGGTCTCTGATTTGTTGCCCTCCTTCCCATTTTTAGCCTAGGTTTGTTGGGAAAGATAATTCTCTTCCCCTTCCCCTTATCCCAGTGATGGATAACCTTTTCCGGACTGAGTGCCCAAAGTGCGTTTGCGCGCAAATGCGTGTGTGTGTGCCCAAAACCCCAAATACAATGCGTGCACGGCCCCCCACATGTGCCCCGCCCCTGCATATGCACACGCAGCCCCTACGCATGCGCCCTACCCCCCCTGCATGCGTAGCAGAGACCCGACAACCAGCTGGCCAGTGGGAGGCAAGTGCGCATGCATGGCAGAGCTGAACTCGGGCAACGGCTCATGTGCCCATAGAGAGGGCACTGCGTGCCACTTGTGGCAAGCGTGCCGTAGGTTCACCAACATGGCCTTATCCCTTCCAGTTTCTCAAGCAGGCTGCTTTTCTCCCTTTTTCTCTCCTTCATTCTTTCACATACAGAGTTAGATTCCTAAGGATGGAAACGCCACGCTCTCTGCCTGCCGTGCTGCTCCTGCTGCTGTGCACAGGAGCAGCTGCCTTCCGGATATGTGCCTTCAACGCTCAACGCTTTGCTGAAGGAAAGGTGAACAAACCTAGAGTCGTGGACATACTTGTCAAGGTAGGTGGCAAGGTAGCACATGAGTCCCGAGCTATTTCCTTCCCGTTTCTCTTTGTAACCCTTGATAAGAAAAAAATATGGAAAACTAATTTCTTTTGCTTCTTTTAAAAAATTAAATTAAATTTCTAGGCCTTATGAAGGTATTGGTAAAGTCTGAAATATCCGTTCAGAACTTGAAATCAGTACAATGGGACTGACTTCTCATGTCTATCAGAAGCAAGTCAACTCTCCAAATACAAAACAAGTGAAAACTGGTTTAATTAGCATAAAATGGAAAAGGCTGCAAAATTAGGAGTCTTAGAATTATTTTCTTTCATCTTCACAAGAATTAATTATGTTACGCAAGAAGGCTTGTATATTTGAATGCTGTTTACAAGCATATATACACTTTTTAAAATTAAAATGGTGTAAAAGAGGAAGGCTTAAAATGTTATCATAGACTAGCTATAGCAAGGTAGTCTGCTTGTATTTGGGGGGCAAACAATAGCAGACATGGGCTCACATGAAAAATTAATGTTTGGATTTAAAAAAAAAAACACCAAGAATGTCATGTGAATACATCATGGTAGATTTGTCCAGATGATATATTAAACTCTTAAGCTGGGCTAACCAAATATAATTGCTGCATTCTCATATGATACAAAACCCAAACAAATAAGTCACTTCTTTGTGGTTGAATGTGATGGCCTGGTTTACCCAAAATGACAAGTCAACTAGGCTCTCATAAAATGCCAAACCACAACCCTTCTACCATGCTCTGGCCTAGTCTATCCTCTGGAAACTAAGCTTGGGAAAAATTATTACATCCTATGCATCCTGTAGAAATCCCAGTGAGGCCATGATATCATCTCTCAAATTATGTGTCTTATGTAGTTGACATCAATTGCCTCATGGCATGAATAAGTGCATAATTTGCATCATGTGTGCAATGATGCCATAATGTGCCTCATGCCCAGAGCTCTGGATGTTCATGTACCAATACTAGAGGTCCATTTTAAATGAAGAAGAGTTGGGTACATAACAATTCTTGATTCCCTTGTTATTCATCACTACCCATAATACAATTCCTTCTTCAAATTAGAAATAAGCTAAATTGGGCTTATTTCTAATTGAGTTAAGCTAAGAGAAAAGCAATGGGAGCAGCTGGCAGCTATGTTCCTCTCCATCCTTCATGCCTGATACATGAACTCATTTCGCTGCTTTTGCTGACTTTCAGGACAAGCTGCAATCAGTCATAGCAAGCTCATCCCAAAGAAAATTCAAAGGGATCCAAAGGGGTTAATTTTATTACTCTGTTCTATTCCCTTCTTTTATGTCTACAGATCTTGGCTCGCTGTGATATCTCAGTCTTACAAGAAGTGATGGATGCAAAAGGAAAGGCAGTGCCTGCTTTGATGAATGCCTTGCACCAGTGAGTCTGAGGGCTGCACAAGAAACATGATCCCAAAAGATCAGAAGGACATAAATAGATGAGCAGTCAGGGGCAGCCGAGAATTTGGAGTGATCAGAGGCAGGAAAGGAAAGTGGAAAGGATCCATTGAGGCAGGAAAGGTAGTCCAGATATTTGAAGAAGACAAGTAGCAATTGCCTTTCTCCTTATGGTGTAACGTAGTCTGGATTGCCAAGAGGGGGGGGGGGGGGGAAAGCATGGAAAATCTGATCAGGAGAAATAAAGTTAACAGAATAACAGAGTTAGAAGGGACCTCCTGCTCAAGGAGGAAACCCAATACCATTTCAGACAAATGGTTGCCCAATTTTTTCATAAAAACCTCCAGAGTTGGAGCACCCACAACTTCTGGAGGCAAGCTGTTCCACTAATTAATTGTTCTAACTATCAGGAAATTTCTCCTTATTTCTAAGTTGCTTCTCTCCTTGATTAGTTTCCACCCATTGCTTTTTATCCTACTCTCAGGTACTTTGGAGAATAGCTTGACTCCCTCTTCTTTGTGGCAGCCCCTGAGATATTGGAACAGTGCTATCATATCACCCCTAGTCCTCCTTTTCATTACCCATTTAAAGTTAAAACAGCTCCTCCCTAGCAATTGCAGCAATATCATTATAGACATATTCAAATAGTTGTTTTAGCTTGGCAAGATCAGGAGATTATCTAAGGGTAAAAATTTCCTCACCTTTCCATAGCCATGTACTCTTTGTTCAGCAAATATAGCATGCTTAAATCCTATGGGATTTTCTTCCCCCAGGTTTGATGACCTACACAGCTACAGTTACCTCACCAGCCCTTTGCTGGGGCGTGGAAATTATCAAGAACGATATGTATACATATACAGGTATATTCACTTAGTCCAACTACTTGTAGCAACATTTGTGATTGGGTCTACATGTGTTATTGAACATAAGGATAATAATGATGTCACCATATTTTTATAGCATCTGTCACAGATCCATTCTAATTCTGAATTCCTAAAGCTGGGTTATTTTTTGTGGGAACCAGATCAGGCCTTTGAGATGACCTTGGCTAACACACATGGGTATGCTCACATACAAGCATTTCAAATCCATTTATTTTATTTGTTTTCATACCACATGTATACTCCATCTCAACATACATATTCACAATCTATTCTCTATCCATGTCTCATCCATCTATCAAACTATTATATCTATCTATCTATCTATCTATCTATCTATCTATCTATCTATCTATCATCTGTCTCTATCCATCTATCCATCCACATTTCATTGTATCCTCTGTCACCTGCAGACATGGATTAGCATGCAGATCCATCCACCACCATGATTCACTTCCAAACATTAATAAATGCCTTCTGAGTCATACATCTGCTATTTCCCAACTATCATCCTTTAAACACATTAAGAGTCACCCGTGGCCTTAAAATTGGAGGAACCCAAGATTAAGAAACTGTAAGATTCCACAAACTTCACATCTAGCAAGGTCTCACAATGTAAATTGCAGGAGGTGAAAATAATTTGGATTTATGGGCCTAGCTAGCATAAGCCCACGAGGGAGATCTTGTGGCACAGGGTTGCTTATAGATCCCATGTGACCAATCCTTGTCTTCAAATAATCTGCTTTTATTGGTAGAAGGATAAAGGACAAAGCAATGTGCTAGGACTTGTCAGCAAGTTATGCCTTATAATTTATAACCCCACCAATTCCCCCTTCATAATGCATAATCCATTAAGCAGAGCACACAATATACCCATAAAAGATAGTTTCTTATAAGATCTAAAATATGGGTGAAAAAAAGAAAAGTGACCAAATCAGCAGAGCTACTGAATCAATACAATCTTAATCCCTTCTTGTAAACATGCGGTGGTCCATCCAAGGTAGGTGGAGGAATGGAAAGCCAGAAAAATCAATGGGAACACAAAAGGTACGGCAAAGAGAAACGGAATCCTTCCCCCATTGCACAACCAAGGAAAATTCTTTTGGAGCTAGGAAGAGAAATCCAGCTTGGAGAAAAATCTATTGTTGGGTCTTTAACACTAATTTTCATCCCCATCCTGGGACCAAGCCTGTTTTCCTGTGTTTTCCACTTCCTGTAGGAACCAGAAGATTCAGATACTGGATTACTATACATATGAAGACCTGCATCCAGACCGACCTGATGTCTTTGCTCGTGAACCCTTTATCGCCCGTTTCAGCATGGCAAACAAAGGTGAAATCCTATATTATAAATGAGATTTCGTTTCCAACAAGAATAATCCAGATCTCTGGAGGGGAATGATCCAGAGCGAAGTTTCTAGCATTTTTTTCTTAGGCCCCACTTCAAAGACTCCTGCTCTTCTAGAGGATTATAAGCACCAAGATGTTCTGACCCAGAAATCTCTATTGTCCAGTCCTCTATTGCTCAGGGACGACTCACACCCTGGTCAGGACATCTTTACCCTCCTACCATTGGGAAGGAGATATAGAAGCATAGCCAGCCGCACCTACAGGCTGAAGAACAGTTTTTATCTGTGGGCTGTCAGACTCCTGAATGCGAAATAACCAGTGGGGGAATTCAAATTTTTTTACTACCGGTTCTGTGGGCGTGGCTTGGTGGGCATGGCATGGCATGGCTTGGTGGGTGTGGCTTGGTGGGCATGGCAGGGAAAGGATACTGTAAAATCTCCATTCCCTCCCCACTCCAGGGGAAGGTTACTGCAAAATCCCCATTTCTTCCTGATCAGCTGGGACTCTGGAGACAGAGAATAGATGGGGGTGGGGCCAGTCAGAGGTGGTATTTACCGGTTCTCTGAACTACTCAAAATTTTCACTATTGGTTCTCCAGAACTGGTCAGAACCTGCTGAATACCACCTCTGGGAATAACATCATAACTATGTAGTATGATGAACTTGCAGGGCCGGTGCAACGTGTGACATGTTCATACTGGTGCAGTAGGACTGAGTGTTTGTTAATATGATTTATTGCATTAGGGATTTTCTGTCTTCATTATGAGTTGTATTGTGTTGGAGGGGTGCACTGAGAGAGCTCCACCAATTTAATTGTACATATATTGTGCAATGACAATAACGGTTGTTGTTGTCGTATTGTAATTACCACCAAGATGTTCTGACCCAGAAATCTCTATTGTCCAGTCTAATTGGATCCAGGGACAAATTTAGAAAACGAGTCAGTAGCAGGGGTTATCATAAAATGGCAGAGAAAAGACTGCTATACAAGCAATATACAAGATAGTGGTTGAGTAAGTGGGGACCTCAAATGGCTAATGACATATCCACCCCTTCCCCCCACAAATAACAAAACATCAATTTAATAGAATACAAATTTCAGGTGACAGACAAGATATTTAGCCTAGAAGCTTACTGAGTACAAGATAACAATTGGATCTCAGCCTGCATTGTTAGCTTGTATACACACCTTCACAAAGCACAACATAATTATATTTATTCTGGAGAAGGAAAACTAATCATCCTTGGCAAATACTGATATTTCCCTCACCCTTAAATCCCCCAGGCAAATCACACCACACGATAACAATAATGGAAACAGAACAAGAACTTCTACTGACACCTAATGCCACCAGTTAGCAAGACAATTGTTTTTTCTTTTATATACAAATTGCAATGTTTGTTTCCATTTTTTAATGCAATATAATTTGAGTAGGAGACCTAGCATGCCGGAAGATGAGTTGGCTCTCCCTGCTGCCTCATGTTCTTTCTTTCCTTTCCCAAGAATTTTCTTGGGTCATGTAGAGCAGTGGGTGGGGACCCTTTGCTTTCCAGCAGCTCTGGCCAGAGTTTTTTTAAAAAGAAGAGTTTCAAAGTTTTTATTATTCATATTTTATTATTCATATTTATTTATTTTTTTATTCATATTTCTATGCTGCCCACTCTCCGAGGACTCTGGGTGGCTTACACCAAAGACAGTATACTAAATAGCACATTGCCCCCAACAATCTGGGTCCTCATTTTACCCACCTCGGAAGGATGGAAGGCTGAGTCAACCTTGAGCCTGGTGAGATTTGATCCGCTGATCTGCTGAACTAGCAGTCAGCTGAAGTAGCTGCAGTACTGCACCCTAACCATTGCGCCAACTCATCTCAAATTTCCTATGATACCTGCATTCAGCGGTTTGTTTCAAGTCTGATCAGAATAACCAGGGGAGAGTAAACAGAGGTTCCAAAGCTTAGTTTTCTTCTCGCTGTTGTGGCTGAATGTGTTTCTTTACTTTTTAAAATTTATCCTGTACTGACTGCCCAGGTACCTCAGTGGTTCATAACAATAATGTGTTGAGTTTGGTTTCCAGATTGAGTGGCTAATCCTTATAGTTCTCTTTTTCTATTTGCGCTTCTCTCAAGAGCTTCCAGAGCTGGTGCTGATCCCACAACACACGATGCCATCCAAGGCAGAAGCTGAAATTGATGCTCTCTACGATGTTTTCCTGAATGTTCAAGAACGCTGGGCCACAGAGGTATGTCAGTGAAACAATATATTTCTTGGCATCTATTTATTGATTTATATCTCACTTTTATTTGTACAAATCAAGGTGGCATACATTATGCCCCCTTCTCCTATTTTCCCCATCACAACAACCCTGTAGGTGGGCTGGACTGAGAGAGATAGACTGGCCCAAAGTCATCCAGCTGGCTTCTATGCCATTTCTCCGATTCTAGTCCAGCCTTTTATCTGTCAGTCCAACCTGGTTCTCAATATAAAAGTGTTTTGTTATTGTCTTTTTGAAGATGTTTTTTCCCACTTCCCAGTTTAGCCCACAATCTTGGGGTTACCTGGTGGTCTTCCATCCATGTTCTAATGAGGCTCCACCCTGGTTATTTTTTCAAGGTCAGCCATGTGCTGCCGCTTGCTGATATCAAATGCTACGTATTATTCTCGTAAAACAGCATCATATTGCTAGGTGAAGATCTGCCAGTAATAGCTGCAGCTGAGATAATGCTAAGTCGCTAATTCTACTAGTAACTTAACTGATTTCTGAAAGATCGGATGTTATTTCTCTTCCTTCCCACACAGGACATGATTTTCTTGGGTGATTTCAATGCAGACTGTGGATATGTGGCCAAGAAACGTTGGAAAGACATCCGCCTGCGCCAGAAACCTGACTTTCATTGGCTCATTGGAGACCAAGCTGACACCACTGTTCGAGAGAAAACCCGCTGTGCCTATGACAGGTGGGATCAGGACTGCTTGGGCGCAGGACTTTGGCTCTGAAGGGCAGGGTGCTACTCATCAGGAGGGCCCAAATGCAGTAGGGTTCCCTTATCATGAAAAAAACAGGAGCTTATAAGATCCTAACTTTTTAGAGTTATTATTTCATTGGATCACCAGCAGGATCCAGCATCCTAGGCTTGGCTCAGGGAAACTTGTTGCCAGATCCATCCTGCTAATAATCCATTTCTTCTTCCCAACAGGATTGTGATTCATGGTGAACGTTGCCTAGGTGCTGTTGTGCCTGGATCAGCTCGGCCATTTGATTTCCCCAAGGAATTTGGACTTTCTGAGGAAGAGGTATCAGTCACTTTTGGAAGGGAGACAGAAATGATGTAACTACATTCAGAAGAAAAAGCTGTTTATTTCTTTGTCTAGTCAGTTTTGTCTCTAAAAAGGGCATGAAAAGCAACTTTCCAAAAAGCCAAGGAAGTACAGAAAACATAACAAGGGTAATTTGTGTTAGTAAGATTACATAACTGCAATAAATAAAGGAGCAGGATAATATTGTGCAGCCCCAAAATACAAAATTTAATTATATTGAAAGCACAGTGAAATTTTTCTAAAAAAGAGGAAAATCTTTATATATCAAATATATGTTTAAAGATGGTGAGATATATCATCATCATCATCATTATTTATTAAACTGTATGCTGCTGGACTCACAATGACTCTGGGCTACCCAATCCTCAGCACAACAGACAGGAAAATCATACATAAGATGTAATTTTTTCAAATAACTTGATCTGAAACTACTTACCAGCAGTAGAGAAATGGTGCTTTGAATAGAGCTCAGAAGCAATGTATGATGCTTTAAGAGAGCAGTTTAGCGGAGAAAAGGGCATAAATGGCAACACATTAAGTCACAGTGTGGCCAATAAGATTTTGGCTTACTTTGTTGTGCAAACCTTTTATCCACAAAATAAAGGTAAAGATCACCATGTGACCTTTTGTCATTGTGGGTACCAACCTCAGGTTTGATTCAAAAATTTTGTAGTCTAGGCACTAGTTCTCTGTACTAAGATAGGAGAAAGATATTTAAAGAGGGATGTTTAAATCACAGGAAACTGGAAACTCAATCCCTGAACAACATTTCTATTAAATGTCAAGATATGCTACATGACCCCCATAACTAAATCATATAATGTCTGAGAGATTATCTGCTTCTTCTCTTATTTTTTCTTCTTCATTTAAATTCCAGTTGCAAGACCTTTCTCAATGATTAGGTTGATTTGGGATGATGGAAGCTATAATCCCACATCTCTGAAAAGCACTGGTGTGGGAAGGATTGGGCTAAAGTGATGAACTGGTGATGAAGGCATTTCTTCCCTTGGGTTCAGAGCAGAAAATAGGAACATTTCCATTTCTAATCCTTTTTTCTCTTTCTTCACTTTCCAGGCCTTAGAGATCAGTGATCATTATCCTGTAGAGGTGGAACTTAGCTCATCCTGTAAGAAGCTCCAGCCAGCTAGTTTAGCTGGTCTTGTGTTGCTGACCATAGTTGTGATATCAGACTCAAGATGTGGCATCTGAAGGAAGAAGATGGCTGTTGTGCTAGTCCTAGAACTAGATATAGATGGAGGCCTACCCAAAAGGGTACTTATTATTTTCACAAGAGCACTTGAATAAGTTATGTTGACTCTAGATTCAGCTTCCATCTATGGTGAATCCCTGATGTTCAGACAGTAAGTTCTGGGAAAGCCTGGGAAATGGATCCCTCCTCAGTCAACAGGAGTGCTGATTTACCACCAGTTTATCAAGTACTTAGGAGGCGAGGGCTTGACAGCACAAGGAAACAACAGCCAATGACTTAATAGCCAGCCATCAACACCCCAGTCAACAACTAAAAAGCTACATACAACCAGGCACCATATAAATACCACACAGAGAACAACCCAAAGTACACACTCTACTAGGGAAACATTCCCTGAGGATGAGCTCCAACACAAGTCTGAAAACTTGGAAGACTAAACCACTGCTCCCAGTGACCAACCCAGATTGGATCCTGTAAAAGTAGGTTCTCCCCAAAGTACCTACTTTTGGACTGATCCTTCTCATCAAGATTGTCAAAAGGACCCTTCAGGCAGTAAAAATGTATAAGGTTTTCTCATTCAGTTGAGCCTTGTTGTTTGGGCAAAGACTCTTTGAGTTTGGGTATCTCCTCATATTCTTGAATATCCTCACATGCTGACTTCTTGATTCTGCTTCCTGATTGTACTTTGGCTCAACTACCTCAGGGATCCTGAATACTGGATAGCGTCTGTCTCACTTTTGCCTTTTGTCAGAAACTCAGCCTTGGTGCCAGGTTACAAAGAGGGCTTCCCTGGGCCAGACTCATGATCTAAGTTCGAAAATTCAGCAGGACCTTCCTCAAAGATATGTATGTATTGTAGCTTGTACGTTATCATTGGTTGCTCCTTTGTCCTATATTTTCTCTATGTTCTGTTATACAGAAAATGGACTAACTATCCATTAATATATGGATTTAAAAAAAAAACCTTTCCAGTGAAGTTCATGGGAAGAAAACGTTTCATGCCAGTTCTGAGGCTGCTATGAAAATATATTTTTTTCAATGGGACTATGGAGAAATACAAGATGCAATGAAAATCAGCTCCTCTATTGTGGTGCTGCCTACACCCATATTTTTGGATGTTGTGATGGAAGATCTAATCTGGAGAAACAATCATGCTGGCAAACGATTTTGCTGTAATGTTTTGCAAGTGATAAACACCAGTGGTGGGTTCTGACCGGCTTTACTACCGGTTCTCTTTGAGCATGCGCTTCACTGTTCAAAGTTACAATGGCACTGAAGAAAGTGATTTATGATTGGTTTTCTCATGACTGTTATAGCATTCCCCATGGTCATGCAATAAAAATGTGGATGCTTGGCAACTGGCATGTATTTATGACAGTTGCACTTTCCTGGGGTCATATGAGCATCTTTTCTAACTTCCCAGCTGGCTTCTGACAAGCAAAATCAATGAGGGAAGCCAGATTCATTTAACAACTGCATGATTCACATAACAACTGTGGCATAAAAAGGGGTGCAACTCGCTTAATAACTGTCTTGCTTGGCAATGGAAATGTTGACTTAATTATGGTGATAGAACAAAAATTACCAGTAGTCTCCCTTCTTTAGTAGCCAAACAGAGAATCTGGATACTAAAAAAAAAGGGCGGACAGTGAATAACAAGGAATGTAAATATCAGCATAGAATCATGGGAATAGGATCAGTGGTGGGTTTCAAATTTTTTTACTACCAGTTCTGTGGGTGTGGCTTGGTGGGCATGGCAGGGGAAGGATACTGTAAAACCTCCATTCCCACCCCACTCCAGGGGAAGGTTACTGCAAAATCCCCATTTCCTTCTGATCAGCTGGGACTTGGGAGGCAGAGAATAGATGGGGGTGGGACCAGTCAGAATTTTTACTACCGGTTCTCCGAACTACTCAAAATTTCCACTACTGGTTCTCCAAAACTGGTCAGAATCTGCTGAAACCCACCTCTGAATAGGATACTTGATATTTTTCTTCTTGACTCAGGGAACATTTCATAAAAGAATTATGTATATGTTTTTTTTGTGTGTGTGTGATTCCAATCTATCCTTCCGAGCAGTGGGGATTCATTTTGTACAGAATAAATATTATATAATTTTACAGCACAATATAAACTATACCAATATCTGAAAATTGGCAGCAAAAATAGCATTGACATTTGCATGTTGAAGTTCAGTTCCCTGGCTTGCTTAAAAAAAAAAATCTAGGCCTAAATAAGTAGGGATAAACCTGTGAGCAGAATTTTCCATATGACTCAGTAAGTTTCCTAAGTCCTTCATTTATTCTTTTAATATGCATCTTCATGATAGATCTGGCATGATAAAGGAAAACTTTAGAAGACTTTAGATTATTATATGAAAAAAAATCCTTAATGCATTTCTGATGATTCATGTACTGTATTGCAGTGCTTTCTGCACTTTTACCACTCCCTGAACTTAAGCACATGATTAAGGTAGCTTTTATTGTAATTTTAAATTTTAACCAAAAAGGTGTTGCCAGTTAATGGACATTGAGGTGGATGGATAGTTTTGTGAATTGATTTTGTGCACTGATTTTATGATTCCACTTGTTTATCTTGTAAAACTGGTTCAAAAATTTTAAGAAGTCTGGCAATATATAACTCTATATAATACTAACTAAGGAATGAACACTGGTTTTGAACAGGAACTTTTTAATTCTTTCTAAATGATGCACCATTGTTTGAACTGGTTTCAGTAGATTCCCTGGTATGTGTTGAAGATAACTCTGGCTTTGCACTATTTTCAATCACTGCCACTCCTTATTTATAGCTTAGCTCTATTGCCATGACTAAATCTTGTTTTTTGACTTTGTTCTTCCCCATTAGTTGCAGTATTTTTTAAACAACACCATTAATTGAAAATATAATGGAAGTTTCTGTTTCGAGCAGCGTTATTCAAGAAGAACCTTGCTTGAGTATATAAGCTGACAGCAAACAGTACTCCTTTCTAGCACTGATGATGTTACCTAGTTTGGAACGTCTGCAAGAAAATAAGCAAGCTCAGAGAGCATCAAGGACCCCTCATTTCAACCCTGAGCTACAAATATTTTCCTTTATTAGAATTTTGTTTGATGTGATAAAATTTATTGTAAACATGCATGTGCATACAAGAGAGCTAATTTGGACTAGTGATTAAGGTACCAGGATAGAAACCGGGAGTCAGTGAATTCTAGTTTTGCTTATGCCAAGCCAGCTGGATGACTTTGGACCAGTCACTCTCTCTCTCAGCCCTAGGAAGGAGATAAGGGTGAACCAGCTCTGAAAAACCTTCTGAAAAACCTGCAGAGACTAATCCAAGGAGTCCACACTGACTTGGAGGCTCGCTCGCTCGCTTACTCACACACACACACACAGAGAAAGAGAGGGGGGGTACATACAGCCAAACACATACACATTTGTAATACCAAAGGGTGTATGCTCACACTGTACATGCCCAATTGCAATTGTACAATTAAACTGGATTGACAATCTTTTATGAAAAACCAAACTGGATCAATAAAAGTATTGATTTGAAAAGGTAAATTGGCTAGTGTGATTCATTCATCCTTCCTCAGCTTGAGCACTAACAGAATTGCATTCCAGCACATCTAGATGACAACAGGGTAGGGGTGGAGATTTCTAAACAGAGCTTTCAAACATCTTTTGGATCCTACCAGAATGCTCCTGAGGTCTATCCATACGGGATGCTAAAGAATCAGGAATGAGATGGAAGGGGACTAGCCCAACGAAGTCCAGCGTTTTCTCTGCTACATTGTTCCATGCCTAACTCAACATGCAGCACAAAAGGTGGTATCCTCCCCCTTGCTGATGTGACCATGTAGTTCTCTGCACCATTGTTTTCCTCCTATGCAGCTGGAGACACATATGCTCTCTCCTGCGATCAAATACATACTAGGCCCATGGCGCAAGCCTTCGCCTTTCTGTTTCTCTTGCTGGACATGATGCTTGTGGCTGCATCTTTCAAAATCTGTGCTTTCAACATACGAAGCTTTGGACAAGCCAAGGCAGCCAACCAGAGGGTGATGAGAGCTCTTGTCCAGGTGAGTTTATGATGGAACTAGTGGGGTGGAGGAAGTGATGACAACAGTGCACTGAGAGAGGCTGGCACTCAACCCAGATTCAGAAGTGATCCAGGGACAGCTGGAGCAGTGAAGGGCAGAAATGGACAAGTCCTCCTTCAGGCATAGGAGCTACATGTTTGCCTTGTCATTCTCTCAGCTCAAACCATCACACAAGGTCACGGTTGTGGGTGGGGTGGGGAAAGGAGGGTGTATGCCACCTTGATATCCTAATGAAAGGTGATCTATAAATCTAGCAAAGAAACAGAAGTGTTCTCATCCAATGTGGTTGTGACAGAAGCCAGGTACAGGTTATCCAAGTATATGAACAAAAAGGGGAAATGCAACAGTTCATTCATCAATTGGGAAATACCACATCTTAAAATAAAAATTGATACCCACTTCAGCTAAAGTAGAAAGCATGTTACTGTAAAGAAAGTGGCAGTGTTTGAACAGCTAGGAAAGATCTCTGATTTACTTTGGGTCTCTCTAGCAGAATTGGAAAGTACTGCAACTGCTTTTATGTTTTGGTGGTTGGAGCTGTGTTTGTCAGTCTGGGGGTGATGAGGGCCACAGTTGGAGGTATGAATTTTGCAAAATGACCAGGAGCAGGATTTTCTTTTCCTCCTGTGATTTCAGAGAGAATTTAGATTTGCTTTTATCTATTTTTGTCTATTTAGAGCTTACTTTGCATTTTTTAGGATTCATGATACACAGTGTTGGGAAATTGTTGCTATTTTTCAGCAAATGTAGGAAGAAGGGATTGGAGAGGTGCAAAAATGGAATTTGGGAACCTGGAGAAGGTCTAGGACTTTTTTTTTTTTTTTTGGCCAACCTTGGAGTTGACAGTACTGAATCTGCTTCACCAAAGATCAGAAGACTGCCTAGGTTAATACATATCAGTCACACTAAGTGCAGTACTGCAGCTACTTTAGCTGACTGCTAGTTCAGCAGATCAACGGATCAAATCTCACCGGCTCAAGGTTGACTCAGCCTTCCATCCTTCTGAGGTGGGTAAAATGAGGACCCAGATTGTTGGGGGCAATATGCTATTTAGTATACTATCTTTGGTGTAAGCCGCCCAGAGTCCTTGGAGAGTGGGCGGCATAGAAATATGACAAATAAATAAATAAATAAATAAATAAACCAAAAGAATTTCTTCTTTAAACATGATTAGCATGATCCAATTCTTGTCAATGAATGCTCAATGAACTATGAGATATATAGCAACATGAAAAGTTGGAAGAGGGAGTGAGGAGGCTGAGAAAATAATGGAGGGGAGGAAAGATATAAACAATCAGGAGACCAAAGACAAGTCAGATGGCAGTTAATTTTATAAACAGTAACTCATCACAGGTAGTGAGAAATTCAGGAAGAAGCACTTGAGCTCATTCAAAGAGACTGTTTTAGCGCACTCAGTATAAATAAAGGTTGGGAATTCCTCTCATGGTTTCCAAGGTTTTTCATGTTTCTCAACACCAGCACAGAAGACACTGTGCAGAAGTCCGTGTGATCCTTTCTTCTTTGAACTTGCCCAGCTGTGGGAGGCTTGACAACATTGTTCACTTATGGGAGAGCAGATCGCTATGTAGTATTGGCCTATGATGCTTTAATTCTCCAAGCAGCAACACCAGATTCTCTTACAAATAATGTAGGGCAGCGTTTTTCAAACGTAGCAACTATAAAATGTGTGGACTTCAGAATTCCCGAGATGCTTTGGGGAGCATCTCAAGTCATGAGAATGGACGTAACAATGACAAGTGTATCTCTTTCTGACTTCCAGATCCTGTCTCGCTGTGATATCTCTGCTGTGCAAGAGGTGCGTGATTCCAAGGGACTGGTTATTCAGGCACTAGTGCAGAAGCTCAATAGGTACTAGTAAACAATTCTAATCATAATGTACCGCAGAATAAGGTGATTTGCAGACAATAACCCCATAGGGTGAAAGTATAGGATCACACTTCGAGCAGTGCACCAACGAAAGAAAAGCATTAGAATCTGTAGCACTGATATTGTACCTATTATCCATATAGATTGTTTTAATGTTTTAATTCTTCCATCTTCTACATCTGACCTGCAGTCTTATTCCATTCCCCAAAGTTCTATTTCTAGGAGTGAGATGGCTGCTTCTGGGTTCTGAGGTTTGAGTGTTATCAACGAGAGCACATTCTTATTTAATGAATTGCAACCTTTGTACATCCCAAGCAGAGGTGAAATCCAGCAGGTTCTGACAGGTTCTGGAGAACTTGTAGCGGAAATTTTGAGTAGTTCGGAGAACCGGCAAATACCACCTCTGACTGGCCCCAGAGTGGGGTGGGAATGGGGATTTTGTAGTATCCTTTCCCTGGAGTGGCGTGGGAATGGAGATTTTGCAGTATCCTTTCCCTGCCACACCCACCAAGCCACACCACACCCACCAAGCCATGCCCACAGAACTGGTAGTAAAAAAAATTTGGATTTCACCACTGATCCCAAGGAAGACACTTATAGAATGTTCTTCTGAGATGTCAGTGTTACTGTGGCCAATCCTTAAATACTATGTATATTACATGGGAAGTAAATGTATCTTGGCATTCTTCTGTATTGCAGTGAAATTATATTGTATTGAAGCAACTATAAATTATTTTTTATTGAAGGTAGAAAGCAACCTTAGCTTCTGGGACAAAGTATTTCCCTGTAAATATTAGTTTAGAATCAGGGAAAGAGAAAGCACCACCAATGGTGATCCTATCTCTTCTTTTGGAAGAGGCAATAGGCCATTTTCCTTAAACCTGGAACCAACTATACCAGAGGTCTTCAAAGTTGGCAGCTTTAAGATTTGTGGACTTCAACTCCCAGAATTCTCCAGCCAGCTATGCATAGTTGGCTGAAGAATTCTGAGAGTTGAAGTCCACAAGTCTTAAAGTTGCCAAGTTTGAAGACCTCTGACCTATACAATCTCAGTGGGAAGGTGGCATCTTGTTTTTTTTAAGTAACATGGCATCACTGATTTCCTCCTTTCCTGTCCTCCACATGGCAGGTATGATCCTTCTCATCATTATAGTTGCCTAGAGAGCAAGAGACTTGGACGAAGCACCTACAAAGAGCAGCATGTCTTTGTATATCGGTAATAATATTCGCGGATCTGGAAATAGCATTAAACAAGAGCTTCCAGTACCAAAGCCAACACTGGCTGAAGCATCTTCAGAAAGCTATTGTAACTGCTACCAAACTTTATCCTGTGTATCAACACTTAAATACCAGTCTTTATTCCCTAATATCTCTGTCCTGTCAATGATTTGTCTTCTCAGTAGATTTCTTTGTGATTGATGATGAGCCATCAAGTTTATATCATCTCTTAATGATTACATAAATGCAGATAGGTTTTTCTCTAGGATGGTCTGTCCCAAGTTTGGTCCTTCAAAAGAACCTCGGGCCCTACAATGCTAGGCAACAGTAATTGTCCAAGGTGATTTGGGGAAGGCTGTCTCAGATCTAAATTTACCTTCATATATGATGTAATGGTGAGTTCTCAAATTAAAATTCAGATAACAAGCTTTTAAAAATTCAGCTACAATCTTTTCACTACCATCGAAAAAAAACCTCTTCTCTGGAATACAGGAAAGTTAATTAAAGGAAACTAGAAAAGTCCTAAGGAAGTAGGGAGTGAATTGGTTCTCAGTGTGAAATAGTATAATTACCAAAAAATCTTATATTCCTTTCATTTCAATAAACCTTGTTTAAAAAGATTCTGTGAGAATCATGCTTGGACTGAAATACTTCGAGTTTGAGGCAACTGTCAAAAGCCTGACATACCAAAGAAACAAAAGCCAGAGGCAGAGTTCATTCTTTGGATAATGAACCCTCATGTACACAATCATTTTATCCTGATTATTTTTCTCACTGACAGTCAGGATGCTGTGTCAGTTATGGCTTGGTGCCAAGCTGGAGATGAGGATGCCAGAGATTTTGCTAGGGGACCATTTGCTGTGCGTTTCCATTCCCCATACACAGGTAAGTTAGTGGTTCTGTTCATAGATCTACTGTGTTTCCCCGAAAATAAGACCCTGTCTTATATTTTTTTGAACCCTGAAATAAGCGCTTGGCCTTATTGCCATGCACTCAAAAGCCCGATTGGGCTTATTATCAGGGGATGTCTTATTTTGGGGGAAACAGTGTAAGAACTTGTTTTGGGCAAAAATTTCGTAAGGCCAGTGGCCACCGAGTCAGATATGGCAAAAGAAAAAACATCAAGAACTGAAATCCTTGTATTTTGCAACCACAACTTTCCAGCTCTGAAGCAGGTATAGCACATGATTGTAAGAAATATAACCCAGTAAATATGGTGGAAACTGTGCCTGAGTTTTGTGGCTAATTGTTTTTTCCACTCTATAGAGCACTAACTAATAATGGAACAGTTAGTGGGGTTATAGGCAGGATGTTTTGTATCCTGTGCTTAACAAAAGTACATTGGAGTAATAATTCAGCATCCTATCTTGACTGAGGTATTCAAGAACATCCAAGTAAGTTTTTTGGACCAGTATTGATGATTTACAGTTATTAAATAGAAAAGCTTAATATAAATCTAAAGTGTACTGTATAATATTCTTGAAGTATAACATACTGAATGCCCATATTTGTAAACAACGAAAAGGACAAAAACAACACAAGATACAATTGTGCCATGATATATGTTTATTTTGGGTCCAATCTTTGTTGCCATGAGGAAGTCCTTCTAAGGTGATTGGAAGTGGACTGCTTTTTTTTATGCCTTCCCCTTTTGACTGCTGTAGTCCCTGCAATTTTCTTGGCAAGGTTTTCAGAAGTGACTTGCCCTCTCCTGCTTCCTACAACTGAGACAAAATGACTGGCCCAAGGTCACCCAGTTGGCTTTTGCTAAGGCGAGAACTCACAGACTAGTTTTAAGCTTGGTGCCTTAATCACTACACCAAGTTGGTCTCTGCAAGTGTATTGGTAGATGTGAATAAATCCTTTTATCAGCTCATGTTGTCTGTATTGCCATCACCTCTACGCAGTTGCTTCAGACTTTGTGCTACTCTTGCACCATACCTGTCCTCGGGAAGCCGTCCATGAGCTTGACCTGCTGTTTGAAGTATGCATGGAACTAATGCACTGGTGGAAAACGGAGGTACATTCTGGGAGCAGGGGTTGGATATTGCTGAACTAGATGAGCCAAGGAATGCTTCCAATCTTCCTTCCTGCTCCACCTTAACAGAATGTGATGGTGCTGGGAGACCTGAATGCAGGCGGTGCCTACATCCCAATGAGCGCGTGGGCCAAGATCCGCCTGCGCAATCACCCTGCCTTCCATTGGCTGATCAGCGACGAAGAAGATACCACCGTCAGCCACCGCACTTGCTGTTCTTATGACAGGTACTAAACTGCAGCATCCAAGTTCAGCCATCTGCTTTCTTCAAAATGTTTCCATCATCCCACAGGCAGTCTTGTCATTGCCAGCCTTAGAGGCAATGATTAGATTACTTAGATTACTAATGAGAGTCACTCATTAGTAACATGATAGGGCTGCTCTATTGAATAATCTATTGAACAAAGGTTAGAAATGCAGGCAGAATACTTCTGAATCCCTTTCCCAGTCAGGCCTACCAGTTAGGGGTGGGTTCTACTTACCTCTACTATCGGTTCACAACGGGAGTGCACCCGCTTCTGTGCATGCACAGATTGTACCTTGTTATGTCCGGGTGGGTGGGCAGAGTCTCCCACCACTTTTACTACCAGTTCTAAAAAAACGGACAGAACCGGGAGCAACCCACCACTGCTACCAGTCCTCCAGGAATGTTACACTGTTCTGCTTCCTGACACAAATCGCCCACCTATAAAGTATCTTTCTGAAACCTGGAAACAGAGCCCAACTGTCACTGTTTTCCTCTTAGAATCATAGTTCATGGAGAAGAATTACTCTCTGCTGTTGTGTCAGGATCAGCAAAGCCATACAATTTCACAAAGGCACTTGGATTGTCTGAAGAAGAGGTGAGTAGGCTTGATTATTCTCTCTCCTTTAAAAAAAAGGAATGTTTATATATGGCGAGCCTGAAGAACTCAGATTTTCTCATTTTTATAGGCCTTAGAAATCAGTGATCACTACCCTGTTGAGGTGAAGCTGAAGCTTGCTCCAAACACCCAGAGGGAACTCTAAGTTGTCCATCGGCCTATTATATAAAGTGAAGGGAAATGGGGAAAGTAAGTAACATCTAACAACAGTAGGTCCCTACTAAATAAAGGTCAAATGGAGCTCAGGAGTAGGATGTTGTCAACTTGTATGTTGCTTTATTTATTTATTTTATTTTATTTTATTAACTTTTTATACCGCCCTTCTCCTGCTGGACTCAGGGCGGTGAACAGCCAAGAATAAAAAACATCCAATACAAAATTTAAAATTATTAAAAGAATTAAACAAATTTTGGCCCAGATTTAAAACATCCCAACTAAAATCTGTTACAATTAAAATATCTAAGGGGGTGGGGTTACGCCAGCCCAGCTTGGTGAAATAGAAAAGTTTTGAGGGCATGGCGAAACGCATGGAGATCTGGTATCTTATGTATCTCCAGGGGCAGGTCATTCCAGAGGGCAGGTGCTGCCACAGAGAAGGCCCTCCCCCTGGGGGTCGCCAGCCAACATTGCCTGGCTGACGGCACCCTGAGGAGTCCCTCTCTGTGGGAGCGTACTGGCCGGTGGGAGGCTATCGGTGGCAGAAGGCGGTCCCGTAAGTACCCAGGCCCTGTGCCATGGAGCGCTTTAAAGGTGGTGACCAACACCTATAAGCACACCCGGAAGACCACCGGGAGCCAATGCAGCTCGCGCAGGAGGGGGGTCACATGGGAGCGGCCCATCGCTCCCATAATCCCCGGCGCGGCCGCGCTTTAGTCATAGAAGTGAGCATCCCTGTCACTTGCTTCTCGTTGTTTCCAATGTCAGTGTAATTTTTATTTTTCACTTTCAATGTTGATCACCCCAAATACTGAAATAACTCCTGGGATTCCATGTCAGTGGCCAATTTCATTGCCTTGAATAGAGAGAACAGGTCCGTTTTTCCAGTTCAAACAATGAACTTCTTTTGGGTGGGTCCCAGGCAGTTCTCACCATCCCACCTCTTTCCACAGACAGTCTAAGACTTCATCAAGGTGATCTCTTAAGGAGTCACAGCAGGAAATCCTGATTTCAGTGTTATGAAAAACAAACCCTCTTAACAATAGGTGGCTCAGTGGCTAAGATGCTGAGCTTGTTGATCGAAAGGTCGGCAGTTAAGTGGTTTGAATCCCTAGTGCTGCATAACGGGGTGTGCTCCAGGGGTGGGTTTGATCTGTCCCCGTACCCACACCCACACCCACACAGCCAGTCGAGGGTTAAGGAAACACTTTGGAACGCACCCAGGTCTTATCTCCGACTTGGCAGCGATAGACACACCGTCTGCCAAGGGTCTTTATTTTCACAAACAGACAGATAAGATACGAACGTTCAAGAAAGTCCAAACAGAAATAATATTCCTCCCAGCAGTTCCGGACGAGGCTTTAGTGACTCCAAGGTTTTGCTTTGTTCGTCACAAGGATCCTTTGACCACTACCCTCTATTATATAGTCTCTGGGGTGTGGTCCAGTGACTCAGTGCTAATCCCTAGCACGCCTCCCAAGCTGCTGCAAACGTTTATCACGCCTTCGGAGGCGTGCGTCCAGGAATGATGTTTCATTATCACTTTGACTCGAATCAGCTGTCTCCTCTCCCTCGACTGGCACTTGAGACAATGCCAGAGGGGAGGGGCCTGGAGAGGGAGGGCTGGCTGACTCCTCTTCCTCATGCTCGGAGCTTTCTTCCTCCGATGGGACAGGCTCAGAGGGCGGGGCCACAACAGGGTTCTACTTACCTTTACTACTGGTTCACAATGGGGCCACATGCGCAGAAGCTTCCTGATGACGTCAGGGTCGGTAGGTGGAGCCTCCCGCTGGTTTTACTACCGGTTCTATAGAAACAATCTGAACTGGGGGCAACCCACCACTGGTGTGCTCCTGTTACTTGCCCCAGCTTCTGCCAACCTAGCAGTTCAAAAGCACGTAAAAAATGCAAGTAGAAAAATAGGGACCACCTTTGGTGGGAAGGTAACAGGGTCCCGTGCGCATTTGGCATTTAGTCATGCCGGCCACGTGACCAGAGATGTCTTCGGACAGTGCTGGTTCTTCAGCTTTGAAACGGAGATGAGCACCACCCCCTAGAGTCGGGGAAAAATAGCACGTTTGTGCGAGGGGAACCTTTACACTGTAGATAGCCCTTACCACAATAGAGTTCAAAATTTCCATTGCAAAGCAAGCAGTGGTTAAGTGAATTGTGCCCCATTTTTTGACCTTTCTTGCCACAGTTCTTATGTGAATTCCTGCAGTTGTTACTAAAACAATTTTTTAGTCAATCTGGCTTCCCCATTGACTTTGCTTGTCAGAAGGATGTAAAAAATGACCATGTGACCCTGGGACAGTGCAACCGCCATAAATGCATGCCAGTTGCCAAGCGCCTGAAGTTCGATCAGGTGACCGTGGGGATGCTGCAACGGTCATGTGAAAAATGATCATAAGTCATTGTTTTAAGTGCTGTTGTAACTTCAGTCACTAAACAAATAGCTGTAAATTGATAGCTACCTGTATAGTAGAGCCAGTTCTCCAGACAGTCCTGCTTTGCTGGATGTGTTAAAGCAAAAGAAAGAGTGTCTATGGATATTCTCAACCATACAGGCCATGGTTATCCCAAAGATGCTTTCTTGAAAATCCAGCTCCCTCTTGAAAATAGAGTATCTTGGAGGCAACTGAAAGAGTGGACCCAGTTATCTAAATAGCCTTTTGCAGCTCTGTGATATGCAGTAATAGTTATTTGTTGTTATTTGTAGGAACAACAGTTTTACCACAAGAATATATCAAGGCACTAACAGCAGAATAGGCTTTTGAGGTCCTATAGAAGAGTCCTGGAAGTTTATTACCTATATTTGAGACTGAATATAAATGTTTGATTGGTATAATATTTGATAAACATTCAGCTGTCTGGAACTCTGTTAAGTTAAAATGCCATTGGCAATCTTAAGATAACAATAGGCTTAACATGTAATCAAGATGTTACTTAACAAGTTTAAAATCCCCCACAAAATTCAATGTATTGCTTGTTTACACTAAACACTGAGCAGTTTTTTAAACCTATTTTAGGCTAAAATGAAATTATTTTGTGACTCAGAACTCAGACATTTTATCAACTAGGTTAAATCACAAGTTTCTTCACAGTTGCTATTGTTGTGTGAACATAGGTGTCTCATTAGTTTAGATTTAAGATGCTGTACAAACCAAACCATCAAATCACATTACAGTTGTTAAGATTCATATCCTGTGTGAAGTCAGCCATTCTGGCTTGTAGAATATGGTTCATGATCTACCATGTTGTGTGAACCCACCACTTTACCCAATAAACTGTGATAAAAAAAACTATGGCTTAAATCTAATTTGTGGTCCCATTAACATATTGATTTAAAGGGGAGCATTTTAAATAGCTTTTTCTGTCCAAGTAACCATTTAAGAGCAGACATTTCAGGAATAGGAAGGACAGATAAAATAATTTCAAATAGCAGAGATGTCATGCTCTTACACAACTCCTTGCCCTTCATATGAACAGGAAGTAATTTAAAATTTGGAGCTCCTTATGAATCGTTTTTTTTAATCACTTACATTTTTATTCAGTTTGTCAACCTTGTTTTTAAATTGTCTCTATTTCACTTAACCTATGTTGGTCCCAGAATGTCTTGCTATCCTCAGTACAAAACAATTCCGATATAGTCTAGTGCAATGTTTCTTCACATTGATAACTTTTCAGTGGATAGGTGGCTAGGGAATTCTAATCCACCCATCTTAAAATTGCCAAGGTTAAGAAACACTAGTCAAGGTACCAGGATAGAAACCACAAGTTTGAGTTCTAATCCCACTTTAGGGATGAATGCTTGCTGGGTGATTTCAGGCCAATTTTTCAACCCCTCACCTCACAGGGTTGTTGTTATGAGGGAAATAGATATATTCACTTTTGAGTTACTTATAAAAATAAAGGTGGGACAAAATCTACTAGTCCTCCTCCCACAAATTTCCAGATGGCATTATCTAATCATCTCATCCTCTGCTGTCCCCTTCTCCTTTTGCCTTCAATCTTTTCCAACACTCTCCTCTTTTCATTAGGTGGCCAAAATATTTGAACTTCAGCTTCTGCTCTTCCAAAGAACAGACTGGTTGATTTCCTTTAGGATAGACCAATTTGATCTCTTTGAAGTTCAAGGGACTCATCTTCTCCAGCACTTGGCCTTCCTTATGGTCCAACTCACAGTACATATTATTACTGGGGAAACCGTAACTTTGACTACATGGACTTTTGTTGGCAAGGTTATCTCTCTACTTTTTAATGCTGTGTAAATTTTCCATAGCTTTCCTCTCAAGGGGCTGTCAGCTTGTCCCAATTTTGGAATTACGGAAAGGAAGACCTTCGACTTTACTCTTTCAAGTAAAAAGTTCTTTTACTTTTATAGGTCTGACAGGGGCATCTTTTAATTTCATGGCTGGTCACCCTCTGCAGTGATATTGGAGCCCAAGAAAATAAAATAAAAATCTGTGACTGCTTCCATTTCTTCCCTATTTTCCAGGAAATGATGGGACCAGATGCCATGATCTTGTTTTTTTAATGCTGACTTTCAAGCCAACTTTTGCACTCTTTCATTAAAAAAAAAAAAGAGTGCAAAAGTTGGCTTGAAATTCAACATCAAAAAGACTAAGACCACAAACACTTTCACAGATCATAGCCTTGTTGTGTTGAACAGGTTTGCGCCGCTCAATGAAGCTATGAGCTATGCCATGGATAGCCATCCAAGACAGATAGGTCATAGTGGAGTCCTGATAAAACATGGTCGACTGGAGGAAAAAAAAAAGGCAACTTATTCTAGGATCCTTGCCAAAAGCAGTATGGACAGTATCAAATTTACCTGTTAACAACCCTCAATCACTTAAAACATCCTGTTCTGAAGGAAGTTTTTCAAACTGAACAAATTATATAGTCAATTTAATGACTAGTAAACTCCAGTAGTCTATATAGAAAGTAACTAACTACACTTGATATGTTGCAAGGATTAGATTGGTAACTGCACACAGGCATTTTAGGCAGTTTTCAGCCATTCCCACTGAAAATAATGTTCCAAAAACACAGAAGAATCCAATTCTGAATTTTTGCCATGCAAATGTTGGGCTTCTGTTCCTTCCTTATGTATGTAACAGATCAAGTCAGAGACCTTTCTTCATGTGAGTAGTACATCTTGAAAAGATATACCCTAACAGTAACAATCACACAGCAGGTACAGAGCTCTTTATTTTGATGCATTTTTCTGTCAAGAAATTAGCACAGTTGTCCTCTAGTTACATCAGATTCTCATGCTGCATGCAAGGCACGCCATTTATCTAAAGGACCCCTGTTAGGTATGTATTTAACTCCACAGCCATCAGGGATGAGGCGCTTCTCAGACACCATGTCCTCAAACATATCAGCATTGAATTTGGTGAAGCCCCATTTCTTAGAAATATGGATCTGGAAAAGGGAGGGAGAGAGAGAGAATAAATGAGAATGGCCAGGAATCCAGCAGCCTGTATCATTTGTCTTCAAAGAGCTAAGAGTCACGAATGCCTACATTCTGATTCCATCTAGAGGCAGTTACCATAACATATGAACAAGGCAGGGAAGGGAGAACATGTCTCTTGGATTGCTTCCCAACCCCTTCATCAGCAGTGGACATAGGAGGCTTCTATATTTTTTTTCTCTGTGCTGAACTATATTTGTGTTTCCCACATACTTCATCTGCATGCTACAGTGTATATGTGTACTGGGAAACAGTCAGCTCTGGATCATGTGAGCAGAAGGGAGAAAAGAGGAATTACACTGGACCAATTGGCAGCCTCTGCTGGTTTGGGAATTCTGGGAATTGAGAGTCCACACATCTTAAATTTGCTGACGGTGAGAAACATTACCATTCTCCCACATAGATTCCCTGGGGACATTACTTTTCTCTGCACTCTCAAACCAGATTTAGGCCATGTTTGTACTTTTTCCCTAATTTCTGCCCCCCCCACCCCCCGTTTATTCCTATTGTATTCACTATTCAGAGGTATCCTGCTGACAAATAAGAATCCTAAGCCTAGTAGGTGATCTATTTCCAGCACTCAATGGATTTGGAAAGAATAAAAAGAAACTCTTATGGAATTGACAAATCTATTTTGATTATGGTGAGACATAAATGTAACAAATCAGAGATAAGAATAGCAACGCAATGACATGGTCTCCCAAGCAAAATGAGATATTTAACATATTTACAAAACCTACCTTCTGACGTCCAGGAAATTTGAATTTGGCTCTGCGCAGCGCTTCAATAACATGCTCCTTGTTTTGCACCTTGGTGCGGATGGACATGATGACTTGGCCAATGTGCACACGGGCCACAGTGCCCTGAGGCTTGCCAAAAGCACCACGCATTCCAGTCTGGAGCCTAATAAGAAGCCAAAGCATAATTTGCAAGTTGTACATAGAACTGATGCTGGTGCCATCAGCGAACTACCAATCAGGCTCTTTTAGCATAATTTCTCAACACTGAAGTCAACCACTCACATTCTGCTTGTTACTATACTTGACTAATATATGTTCCCAAGGTCCCTTAAGGTGCTCTGTACAACAAACAGAGCACGTACACAACCAAGAGAATTGCTGTGTGCAGACAGTGCACACCAGCCGCTGATAGCAACAGTGGTTGGTCGGCTTAATTGACTGCAGGTTCATTCTCATGCTTTCCCACATACCAGACACACCAAAATTGGTTCTGTAACACATTTTTTACCTGTCAGCTCCAGCACATGATAACATTTTGTTGATGCGGATGACATGGAAGGGGTGCAGGCGCACACGGATGTGAAAACCGTCCTTGCCACAACTCTTCACCATGTATTTGTTGGCACAGATACGAGCAGCTTCTAGAGCTAAAGGTAAACACAAGGTATAAATATGGCAGATTTCAAATTAGTAGCATTCAAGCAGATAGGTTGTACTATCTGCTACTTACCTTCTGATGACAATTGCTCATATTCATCTGATACCATGTGCCCACAGAGTGGGAACTCATCAACCTTAGCCTTTTTCCTGCCCAGATCAAATATCCTGATCTTGGGATCTGAAAAAAAAAAAAAAGGGGGAATAAACATTCTTATACATGGTCATATTGAAATAAATGAGAATCAATTTCTGATATTCTTTATCAATTGTGAAATTATTGATTAAGAACCAACATTTTGATGAGGCAACTGGATCCTCTTAGCCAGAAAAGGATCAGAATCAATATTACATGGCTCTCCAAAATTACAGCTACGCATATTATTAAATAGATTTTTAAATAACATTTAAACCCAAGAAATGTTAACATCCTACTTACCAGGAACACCCCTGCAGAAGCGGGACTTAGGATAAGGCTTATTCTTGCAGTATCGATAACTAGAGAAAAATAAAAGTTGTGAGAGGGAAATTATAGTTCCTTGATTTAAATAAATTGGTATTACTCTCTTTTGGTGAAATGTTAAGTTGAGAGAGTATTATTTAGTAGGGTGGTCTTAACAATTTCCAATTGGTCAATCTGTTACTGAAATGGAGCAGCGGGGGAGATCAAGAAACTGGCTTTAGAGGTAAACCATATCATATCATCCTTCTAGTACAAAGCCATTTATTAATCTGAAGAAAAATGGCAGAGATGTATAGGAGAGAATTGCTTCCTGCAGCACATACTTGCATTTTTATATTAATTAAAATGGAACAGAACGCTCCAGCCCTCTTGGCAATTTGTCCACTTGCCACTGGAAAGTTTATGCTTTATTTCCAGGTGAATTCTTTTTGCCTGTACTTACTCTGTGATGACTTACAATTCAAAGCTGCCCTGCATCATGAACCAAAAGACTAGAAATGTAAAATAATGGACAATCCTGAATTTTGCTATCCAGGACCATCTATTGATACTTTTACATGTCACACTGAATGCTAGAG